CCCCTCCAAAAAAAAACAACCCATCACACGTGGGTCTGACTTTTAACTGACTGAGAGCTATTGAAACGGAAAGGATAATTTTATCTTTAAGAGAACATCATCCTGCTGTCCATAAAGGTTTTTGTTGTTTTGTTGTTGTTGTTTTCTTTGGGGGTGGGGTTATTTAAGACGGTATCCATATGAAACGTGGAGAACAAATTAGAAATAAGTATTTAGATTAGTTCTTTAACTATTGTTACTCTAACCCAATCTGTTTTGCTCCGCTCTGGGGTAAAGTTGCAAGTTTCAAAAATCAAGTATTTCAACTTTTTCTCGATGAAAACGTCTTTTCCACCCCATTCACTCAAACCGCCCTGAAAAAGAAGGGAAGTTGCTTCCTTGTGCTGGAGACAATTATTGTAAGTTTTAAAAATATTTGTTAATATGCAAAATTGCACTAGACCTCTAGATTTGGCTCTTCAGGGGGTGGCCCACTTCTCCCTATCCAATACAGCGGTAGAGTGGAGGACGGAGAAAACTTGGAACCCTCTAGATCTATCAGGGAGCCCTAGGATAACAAAAAGAATAAGTCGATCTCAATTAATTTTGAAGTGAGGATTTAACTGTCAGACAGGATGAAACTCGCTAAAGTAACTTTACTATAATGTTCTTCCATAACATAAATAGGACAATGAAAAGGGAAGTGACCCAAACCCGAAAAACACACACCTATATCCACCCCCAAAGCTTAATAATGACCATTAAGCACAGGGTGGATAGTAAAACAGACAGACGGAAACAATAGGCGGGGACAATAGACGGGGAGGGGGGTGGAGGATCTCCCGGCGGCGCCCTCCATCAAACTTATAACGCATTGCTGAAAAAAAAACAACAACAACGTAAATAAGTGTGTGGGGAAAAGGGAAAAGGGGGGGGGGGGGTGTTATTTCAACAGATTTTGATACATTAAAATTTCACGGTAAAGGGCAAGCAAGCATAGGGTCACGTGTGAAGTGTCTCTGTGTGACGAGCCCGCGATAGTTGTTCGATGCCGGGCGTTCGATATATCCGATTTGGGTCCGTCAGTCCGCCGGTTGTGGTCTCTTTGGGCCTACTACTGCTCAGCTGCACCCGTCTGCCGCTTGCCACCGGTCCCAGAGTCCGGTCCGATAGTCTGTCTCGCTGGCGGGCTGGCTGGCAGACGAGGGAAGGGAGCTACAAAGAAAGATAGGAGGAGAGGGGAGGGCGGAGAGAAAGCGCGAGATGTGACCGAAAGGTCTGAGGAGAAGCATCGACCATGCACGAACCAGACGACGGACAAGGAAGGATTGGTGGTGGACAGTGGTTGTAGAATTCATAGCGTGCGCGCGCGTGCGTGTGTGTGAGTGTCGTGTCGTGTGTGTGTGTGCTGCTGGGGGCGATTTTGCCGGGACTGTGTCACAGTGAGCGAGAAGGAACAGCGGTGTAGGTCATGGCTTGGATTGAATTGTGTTTAGGGTGAGTAGTGTAAGCGTGCAACCCGTCAATGTCATCGTATTGAATATCATTTCGAATTCTTTGAGACCGTCATTCATTGGACTCTGCGCCTCTTTTTTTCTTTGATTTTCACAATGACCGACCTACTATTCTGTGACCCAATAGGCTTACCCGTGATGATGTATGAGTACGGCTCGGGAATGAGGTCGAGGATAATAGGAGCGAATCGGTGTCATTGTCATGCTGGGCTGGTCTAACGGGGTGCTGATGATGTAGGGAGTTCAGCTGCTACTCTGTTAAACTGAAGGACGTCAGTTCTCAAATGTAACTGTTCGCTATATACGCTCTGTTGTGTTACCGTTACAGCATGGTCAAAGATGAGTCTTCTAGATAGTTCTCGAAAATCGAAACGAAGACAGCCCCTACGTATCACATTATAGGTTCATATGCTGCCAGCAATGATGCAACAATGGTTTCCGAGATTGGGCCAAATTCTTCTTTGTCAAGTGCTCCTGCTGGTTAGTTTGTTGTTGAAGACGAAAAGATAACTTCCCCCGAAGGGACCCCCTTCCTTTTCTAGCCATGCAAACACAGCCGTTGGGTTGGGTCACGTTCTTTCTTTTTCATCCCCTCCCCCTCCAACCCTCTCTTTCTTGTCCCTCCCCTTCTCTCTGTGTCTGTCTGTCTGTCTGTCTGTCTGTCTGTCTGTCTCTCTCTCTCTCTCTCTCTCTCTGTCTCTCTCTCTCTGCCTCTCTCTGCCTCTCTGTCTCTCCATTTTCTCTTTTCTTTGGTCTTTCTCTTTCCCTTTCACTCACACAAAACACACCCTCACACATTCCCATGCATATACACACACACACACACACAAACACTTCATACTTGTACATGGACACATTTCTCTCCCACTCATAGGCTACTCTCTATACATGCTCACACATTCACTCTCTCCCACCACGACAAAAGAACCACCAGTCTTGTTGTGCTTTAACTTAAATAAAACTGGTGCTTCTTTATCGGAATCTTCTTTCTCTTCTCTCCTCTTTCTCGCATGTGTCATGTATATATTGCCAGTTGAATTCACTTGATTGAGTCAGTCTAGCCAACCACTTTATCCTTCATGGATAGGGCAAAAGCTACCATATACATGTGGATTTTGGCACAATTTGGCAGAATTCAACCGAATTTGATTGTAACAAAAAAAAGCATTTGTTTTTTAAGGTTGTGAGTCGAATTGAGTGTATTAAGTGCCAGCTATTGTTCCACCATGGAAAAAAACAAACCTGGCTGGTCTAGGCTGACTCAGATTGAATCTGATCTAATAGGCAGTGTGCACATATATATGTAATGTTGGCCCAGTATCGAGTTGGCTCTTGGTGTCCTCCAGTAACACTGCTATTGTCGTACGCCTTATAATACAATCGAACCTGCCCTGTTCAAGACGATCTCCTGTACAAAGGACCAATTCCTACTTTCCCACTTGTTCTTTTTTTTTGGTACTATAATGAGACTGTCCAAGAGGAACTACCTAACAACAACGACAGGTGATTGAATTATGACAGCTCGCCCACAATGCCAGGGGCCAGTGCACAATTTATGACAAAACGTAATGGAGTCACTGAGGTGGCCATCTAAGACAGGTGTATTATTGCTTCTAAAGTGTGATAGGGGTTGTGTTTTAAAATATGGTGGCCGCGGCCGCGTTGGACAGGTGCCCGTTTTACACAGTTAAATTATATAGAAAAAAACGCAAGGGGGGAAATGGAAAGTGGCCGTTTGTACAGGTGGCCGTCTTATAGAGGTGGCCGTCTTATAGAGGTGGCCGTCAGGGCAGGTTCGACTGTATATTCATATGAAATGATAAAAGGCATGTTACATTTTAAGAAAAATGCATCAGTTTAATATTTACAAATTTGATGTGTCTGTTTTTGGCCTACATCTCTATTCGAGGATTATGAGAAGTAATTCATTTTGTCTGCACGCCTCTCTTAATATCTTCCCATGGAATTAACTCGAAATGGAAAGGCAACTTCCTTGATGCCTTTCATGAGACAAAGAAAAATAATAAAATTTTATACACTAGGGATTAACCACTTTCCACAGGAGAAGAGCTGGTTTCTTGCGGAGAAGCCAGCAGTAATAATAATTACAGGAGAAAAAAATAACTAGTGTGTCTGTTCCTTTTTATGATGAATATTGGCTTTAATAGTCTTGGCTTTAATTATTCAAAGACTTTTTCTGGGCATGGTGTAGAAATTTTCTTCTTCTTCAAGTGCCAAATTTGAACCACACATCAGTGATCATGGTTCATGACTCATTTCTCTTCTTGGTTACTCTCAAGAAATTCTATCGTTATCCTGATATTTTCCCATCATTGATCAAGTTTTCAAGACGTCCACTGTCCTCTCTTTTAAAGTGTCTGCAGGAGGATACATGATTCACCATGCCTCAGAGCTTTTCCTCTTTTTGTAACAAGAAGTGAGGAGCTGACTCTCAAGACTTGATGTGTGGAAAGAAAGTATTTTTCAGCTTCAGTTCAGCCGGTCATTATGTTATTGAAGTCTAAAGGATTAGTTCCCCCAAAAAGTCCCCTTTGTTTTGTAACCATGCAAACATAGACTTCGAATCACTTTCTCTCCTTTTCAACACCCCTTCCCCTCCCTCAGATACACCTCTCTCTGTCTCTCTCTGTCTCTCTCTGTCTCTCTCTGTCTCTCTCTGTCTCTCTCTCTCTCTCTCTCTCTCTCTCTCTCTCTCTCTCCCCCTCTCTCTCTTTTAATGAAGTTTGGAGAACATACAATATTTGTAGCTCTTTTCTTTTTCCCACATTTTTTACTATCATGGTCTCGTCGTTTTTTTTGTTTGTCCTCTATTATAATCTGGACACTAGAGTTTTTGCTGTGATAGTTTATATGCTCTTTGCCTTGCATTGAGATTATGTGAGTCTGATTCCTTGAGGAGGTGTTATTGTGCTGAGTTTTGCACTCCGCTGGGATGCTGTATCCCACTAAACCATTGTTGGTCCTGCCCTAATGTGTCACTATGGGCTCAAAATATTCACAGTCAATCAGTCAATTAATCATAACTTTTGACAGGTGAGGTTCGTGTAGCCCCATGAGTGGCCAGAGCTAGCATGGGGCGCAATACTGAAGGCACAGGATCGAGGCTCGCTGCGGGACCATGCCGGTAAACCTGCCTTTGTATCCTCATGTGAAAATAGACACAGGTGAGTTCATTTTCAAGTTTCAAGGGGTGGGTGGTTGCTCTGGAGTGGGTTTTTTTCCTTGTTTCCTATCAAAGATCGATATGGTCCTTATCTCCCTTTTTTCTTTTTTTTTGGTGTTTGTTACTCTATTGTAACAACTCTAATCTCTGGGACTTCATGACCTTATTGTGTTGCAAGTGCCGTAAAACTTTCAATAAAACTATAAAACGAGTTTTAGGAGTGAATGTAAAAACATTGTTGAAAGTGAGCAAGTTATGTTACTGAGGGGGATGATGCTTTCCTAACTAAGCTGTTTGTTCATGGTTACAGACGAGACACACTAAGCAAAGTGCAAATTGTTTATTGCAAAGAGCAAATTATTATTTTTTTTTTTTTAAAGAAATTCGATATATTTTTACAAGACATTGAGAGTATCAAATTTGAAGCATTTTCTTAGGCAACTTATTTTTTAAAGTAACGAAATAATTTTCTTTTGCAATGTGAACATTTGATTTTAAGCTTTTTTGTGCATAAATATTTTCTAATTTTATTTTCTTGGCTCACGAGTTTGACCAAAAATAACAGCTTTTTGCCCTCTCTTCAATATTCAATAAGGTAAGTGAGACATGAAATTTGCTTATAAAAGTAAAAATCTTGATAAAGAATTATGTTTTCAGTAGTGGCAGCTCGGATAGCTTTTTCTGACCATTTAATAGTAATTAATTATTGCTTTGTGTGAGTTTCTTTTTTTGTGGTTATTATTCAAGTGTACTTCTTTTGACTATATACTTGACTGTACCTCTTTTGTTCAGATGCCCAGAAGTTGTTGGTGGCACTTCCCACTCTTGAGTCTCGGCTGCCAAACAAGGAGCCAGAGATTCACTACCTTCGGAGGTTTTTACGTAACAGAAATTTGCACCTTGTACTCAGGGTAAGTTATTTGTATCTCAATGTATTTGAAGACTGGAACATTTTTATTGTTGTGTAAAATTAATTCTATATAAATGAAGACTGGAACATTTTTATTGTTGTGTAAAATTAACTCTGTATAAATGAAGACTGGAACATTTTTATTGTTGTGTAAAATTAACTCTATATAAATGAAGACTGGAACATTTTTATTGTTGTGTTATATAAATGAAGACTGGAACATTTTTATTGTTGTGTAAAATTAACTCTATATAAATGAAGACTGGAACATTTTTATTGTTGTGTTATATAAATGAAGACTGGAACATTTTTATTGTTGTGTAAAATTAACTCTATATAAATGAAGACTGGAACATTTTTATTGTTGTGTTATATAAATGAAGACTGGAACATTTTTATTGTTGTGTTATATAAATAAAGACTGGAACATTTTGACCCAATTGTGTAAAATTGGGTGGTTGTTTTTTCCCAACATCCCTACTCTGTCTGACAATGGAGTTAATTATTGTGTTTCCACTGCTGCAAGGGACTATTTGTACTCAGTCCTTTATAGGTAATGTGGTGATTACTGACATTTGAATCGAGAAAAGTAATGCATTGACTCTACCACTTTAAAGTGATAAAAACAGAGGAGCCTGCCTTAACAGGAACCTGTGTAAGACAGAAACCTGTCTTAAGAGAATGACCCCGCTCCCTGCTTGATAAATTTATATCTATAATTACCTGTGTAAAAAGGAAACTTGTCTAACGTAGAGAAATTCCTTCCCTTATGAGGGTTTTTACCTGTCTAAGATGGAAAATGTTTGCCCACTCAGCCCTGATTTGAAACAAAATTATCAGGCTTAGTTCCATTGGCTCTAACCTTTGCACCATTCCGCCATGCGAGGAAGGGGTGCAATTTGGGGGTAGATGTTACCCCATCCATGTGAACCCTCAGCAATGCAGATGGTTAGGATGGTGTGGGTATGAAATCTCACCAGTGCCTGTGAAAGTGCTCAAGTGGCACTCCGGCATGAAAACTTTCATGAGTAGCCAGAGACCAGAGGTGTGAAAATACTTTGACCAATGCCTGCTGCCCTGATGGTACGGCCAACCGAGAAAAGAGTTCCTCAGATCATAGTTACATGCACAGGAGGGGTGGCTTTGGTTGACTGTGCTTATTACACTGATGGGTGGGGCTACGGGTGGAAGCAACAGAGATGTTAAAACGTGTGTTTTTAATAGGTCAAACAGTGGTACTATGAAATGCAGGCACTGCAGGCTCTGGATAAGCAGGACTGACACATGCAATTCGGCTATCAGAGAGACGGGGAAAGCACTTGAGAAGTGTGAATTTCTGACCTGGCTTGCCAACCGGACAAGCGATTCTTGATCCCACCAGCTCAGCCCCTGAACACCCC